ATCGAGTTTGAGTGTGATTTGAAGCCGACAGAAACCCTAACTGGGCTTCTGTCTGCTTCGCGGTCGACCGCGATTTTTGGTGTGTTCGAGTGTTCGCCTCGCTTATCTGGCACTAGTTTGCGATGTTAGTGACTTATCTACACATGGGGGTTGACTTGTGATACGAATTTAGACCCGCACATTGAAACACGTGCAAGAGTGGGATATGTATACCCTTCCACATATGCTAGTGACAATTACACTTCTTTGTTCTTAATCCATGTGTTGAGCATACATTATTATTAATCCATGTGTTGGATACTTATCATCTTGGTCCATGTGTTGGACATGCATTCTATTCAGTCCATGTGTTGGACATGCATTACTTTTAGTCCATGTATTGGACATTTTTGCTAAACCTTGAGCATGATTCACATTTGAGTTTGGAACACGACATATTGATAAAATTAGGACATGATAGCTACCTAGGCTGGGTATGACACTTATTGTAACTATGTACCTTTGACAAAACTGTGATTTTTGGTAGAGATGGAATTGTTGCCTTTTCTTTATTGTTCATGTATTAGACTCCGGGTTTGGTACTTAGGGATTTTCAATTTGAGATACAAGGTATATACATGAGGGTTTCCTTGTTTGGATTATTTCGCTCGACGTACCTATGCTCGTGTTGAAATTTCCTAAGTATTAAAACCCATTATTCTTAGGATAATTGATTATATATACATATTTTGTGATAACTGTATTTTTCATATACAACGAGCCCTCTCCCTTGGGGTTGGTTGTGATGTTGCTCGCTAGCGCTTTGACGCTCATTGTCCCTCCCCCTTTCAGGTAACGAGCCAGGAGCCCGGAGAGTCGCAGGTTGATGGCGACACACTTTAGTGTTCAGCTATCTATTTTAGCTATGTTTTATTTTGGAACTCCATTGTAGTTGTTGTTAGACATTTGAGGACTATTTTCTAGATGTTGTAAAGGTTGTATGCCTTTTTTCCTTTACTCAGACTTGTTGTATTTGAGACTTGTTAAGAAACTCTAGTTTATTTATTTCAGACATTGACTTTGTATTTCTGTATGTTGGATGATGAAATATTATTTTGATCTCTATCATTTCATCAGTTATCTCTTATGTTATCTTTTACTTGCTTTTGTACCTATACCTGTTATTAATTCTACTAGAGTGATAGAATTGTGATGGTGAAACATGTTATTATACGGTGTGGTGCATGGCAGGTTTGACATTCTTGGTTTTACCTCTTTTCTTGCCCTTATCCTTAGAGGCATAGGCCAAATGAGCACTTTCAGTCTTATCTTGCTTCAACCTGTCTTTTTCTTGCACACAGTATGAAATGAGCTCATTTAGAGTCCATTTCTCCTTTTGGCAGTTATAACTGACCTTAAACTGATTGAATTGTGCAGGAAGAGATAACAGAACCAGATGCACCAATAACTCATCACAAAGATCGAGTTTAAGTACCTTAAGCTTTAAAGCAATATGAGACATTTCCATAATGTACTCCATGATATTTCCTTTGCCCTTATACTTCATCAAAATCAAGCGAGCTAAAAGCGTGCTTGTTTCTACCTTATCATTTTTCGCAAAACGCTTCTCAATTTCGGCAAGGAAATCTTTAGCCTTAATAATTCCTTCGGATTCTATGCCCTTGAAGGCTTTCGGAACGCCGCGCTTAATGATCATAAGACTCATGCGATTTGAACGGTCCCACTTCTCATACTCCTTCTTTGCATCAGGAGTGCTATCCGGATTGAGAGGTTAAGATTGTTCAGTTCTTAATGCAAGGTCTAGATCCATACAGCCAAGAATAATTAATATGTTCTCTTTTCAAACCTTGAAATTTGTCCCATTGAGCATGGGAATTGAGTTGATGTTAGCAAAAATTGTTGCAGCAGATGCATTAGCTGAAATAAACAAAAGATACTCACATCATTAACCGTAATTATTAATCAATAAAATTCAAATAATGACAAATCCCATCTCAAGATATCTGGCACAACATTAATATCAAGTCTTTGGACAGTAATATTAACTTGTAATTGATACATTGTTGTAATGATCAAACATTAACAATAACTCATGTCAAATAATAAAACTATCTTTGGATCGATTCATTATTCACATGTAAACCTTATAATTGTCACACGTTTATCATCGCAGATGTGTATGCAGTCTAAATAAATATTAACCTTCCTTTGGGCCGATTAAATATTTACACGAAAGTATACACACAAACATCTCACATTCTTCATGAACAATCTACACAAGAGATATTACTTTGGCAACTTTTTGTTTTAATTAATCAATTGGAGTGAGAGACAACATTAATACCTTAGTGTCATAATATTTGAGTTAAATAATTGATTAACTACCAAAATTAATTCAAATTAAACAACTTAATTTGAATTAGAAGAATTTTCCATAGCTTAATTAGGACCCATAACTTAATTGAATAAATTAAGTATACCAAAGTGGACCCATAACTTAATATAAAAAGCCGAGGCTTAACCATAGTGAGCACGGAGTTCGCTTGACTACGAACGCTAGGTTCGTCTGTATTGAGTACAAGACTCACCTAAGAACGAACGCGAGGTTCGTTTGAAAAAATGAACGCAAAGTTCGACCTGAGAAAGAACACGAGGCTCACCTGAACTTCGAAGGATCGAGGCTCTCTTGAGAACCGAGCGTCGAGCTCGCTGAATTGAGCACAAGGCTCACATGAAAACGAGCACGAGGCTCTCTTGATTCGAGCACGGGGCTCGCTTGAGCTTCCTAAATGAGCCGACGAAGGTCGAGTAGATCTAAGCCTCGATTTCGAATCCGAGGTTTGCCTGAGATCCGAACGTCGAGCTTGCCTATAACGAGGTTCGAGCTCACTTGAGTTGAACCCGAGGTTCACTGAATTCGAACATGAGGTTCATTCAGAGTTGGAACACGAGGTTCGTTGGATTCGAGCACGAAGCTCGTCAGAAGCAAACTGAGGTTCGCTGAAAATTTCAAGCCGAAGCTTGCCTGAACTGAGCACGAAGCTCACCTAAAATCGAGCACGAAGCTCGCCCAAAAATCAAGGTAACCTCCTCCTTAATTTCCGCACGTTTTCACGCGCACGAATCCCTTTAGGGTTTAATCTGAAACCGCCGCCGCCATTGCTCCTACACCCAGAGGTCGAAACCCTAGGGTTTCCTAACGCCGCCGTCGCCATCGGAGTCGAGAGCGAGGCCGCCAGCGATACTTCGCCGGCGAGGAGCACGGGACCGACGACCAAACAAAATAAATCCAAAAATTCCACGATTTTATTTCGAAATCGGATCCAGAATCGAAAGATAACTTCTTGATCCAGATCCCAAAAAAATTAAAGGAAAAACCAACAATTAAAAAACTTTACTGTTCATCTGAAAAATAAAAAATGTTACTGTTCATCCATGACCAGTTCTTAAAAAAACACAAATTAAGATCAAAGAAACCTAATTTTAATCTAAATCTCTTAGAACAAATCACGGTGGCTCTGATACCACTTGTTGGATCTAATATTTGAGATCTAAATCTTAAAGCCATGATTAATTCAAAGAGATTAATAATAATCAAAAGGTGCGGAAGCATATACCTGAATCCATTGAGGAAAACCTGATTAGGGTTTTGATGATCTTCTAACATTAGGGTTTCTCCCTTATTGATCTTTTTAGATGAGGATAAGAGAATGAGAGTGGCTAACCCTAGATTAGGGACCATAACCCCATATATATAGGTGTTGTACATTTGTAATTTGGTCCCTCATCAAATTACAATTACAACCTGGTATCTGCACATATAACCCCATGATTTATTTAAATACCCATTAACCCAAATTAATTGATCACTTTAGCGGGTTATCCTGAAGGATAGCAATACACACAGATTAATCATATGTACCCACAAATAGATTTAATTAGATTTAAATCCAACATTCTTCTCCAATTTCTTCGCCAAATCTACACTCTACAAATCTGTTAGCAGTGTACATGTATTATGAACTCGACTCATTATATAATAAACTGTCAATTATGAGTTCTTGTATTTTAGTTTGAAAATTCTTTAGATACGATTGATTAGATAATTTGAGGCACAATGTACTGGTTGAGTTTAGCGTGCTCAACTTTCTGAATAAAATTTACCCCATGGTAAAAAGCATATTTATCTTCATGTAGGGTTACCTTCAAAAATTCTAGCACTGAAATCTGTAAATTATATTTCATTTTATTTTAAAGGCCCAGAAAACACTATTTCACAATTCCCTGATAAAGATTGCAATTTATTTACTTCCACAAGTAATACTCAATAGTAGATTGTTGAAACAAAATGCAACCCATCAAATTATCAATTGATATATCTTTCATCATACAATTCTCACCATGAGCAAATAAAAAACATTCCATACGATCCGATGTTTTTTTTTTAATCACATGACCAATTCAAAAGAGCTAACCATGTCAATGACCCTCTAAAGATCAAATTAGCTATTGATATCCAATTCCTATGTAGACTAATTCGTATTGTGGGAACCCAAAGCATTATCTCCCTTAGGTCCTCAAAATACTCTTATGAAATGCACTAAGCTTTTTGTTAGTTGAGCAGTGACATTAGGTTTGAGGGTAATTTTGTAATGTTAACATATAGACTAAGACTTGAGCACTAGTGGAGGTAAGCATACCATGGTGGACTTTGTCACACATAAGATTTGAAATCTAATACAAAAATGCATGCAACGGAAAGCGTAATAACAGAGAAAAAGGCATGCAATTAAGAAAGCTAAAAGAAAAAAAAACCAACAACTTAGAAAGAAAAAAAAAATGTATAGACCGCTGTTGAATTAGGAGAGGCAGCCTTTAAAACTTGTCCTATCGTAAGCATCACATCACGTCTCTCTTTTTTCTCTCCGGGTGTCTTCCTATAAAGCTCAGCTCACCTTCTTCCTCTTTTCTCATCAAAGTTTTCTTCTTGACTGTTGAGAGAAAGAGATCTAGAGAGAGAAAGATATTGAAGAGGGAGACTTTAGAGAGAGATGGGTCGAGCACCGTGCTGCGATAAGGCGAACGTGAAGAAGGGGCCATGGTCGCCGGAGGAGGATGCAAAGCTCAAGGCTTACATAGAGGAGAATGGAACTGGTGGCAACTGGATTGCTCTCCCTCAAAAGATTGGTAATTAACTTTTCAAAAAAAAAAGATTGGTAATTAAGCTTCTTAATTAATTAGTTAACCCTAATTAATTAGATCTAATCTTGTACGGTTCATGTTAATTAGAAGGTATTGCTTGGTGAAACTTCCTATTTTGTTGTAAGTTCTTCCACCATAGATCGTGTTTTTATGTGGATTGATACTAATTTATCAGGTAGAATTAAAAGTTGATGCAATTAATTAGGAAACCCAAGTAGGGTTTTCCATCACATAGTTCCTTCATATTTTGGTTTGTTCTGCATGATTTAAGCTTCTTAATTTTGTGAATTTCAAGTAGAAAATTACGAGGGAACCACGTACGTTATATATCAGGGTTTCCATCAAAAGATCTTTTAATTGTTCTACATAATTAAGCATCTCTCTTAATAATGCTATGAACAAAAGACCCAATAGGGTTTCCATTGATTAACCTTAAACCGAGAGAATTTGCACGATTTGGGACATCAAAACCCTAGAACTAGAAGATACTTATATTCGTGTACAACCTTAACTTGTCAAAGTCACGTATTTAAACACTCTTGATAATAATGAACATAATTTCAGGTCTAAAGAGATGCGGCAAAAGCTGTAGACTCAGATGGCTCAACTACCTCAGGCCTAACATCAAGCATGGTGGCTTCTCTGAAGAAGAAGATCAAATCATCTGCAGCCTCTACATCAGCATCGGAAGCAGGTACCGATGATCCTCGATCAACATATCCCTTGCTATAAAACCCTAATGTTAACCCTAATCTCATCCATGATCAGGTGGTCCATAATTGCTGCCCAACTTCCTGGTAGAACCGATAATGACATCAAGAACTACTGGAACACTAGGCTGAAGAAGAAGCTCCTTGGACGCCGTAAGGATCCATCTCAATCTCGCCGCTCATTCTCCCTCAATCAAGAACTCAGCTCTCATGCCGACAAGCCATCACAAACCCTAAGCTCGACTGCTCTTGAGAGGATGCAACTCCATTTACAGCTCCAAGGCCTCAACAACCCCTTCTCTTTTTATAACAATCCTGCACTATGGCCTAAATTCAATCCTCTTGGGAGTCAGCCAGTGTATAATCCCACATCCGAACAAAATGAGCAATCTTTGATTCCATCGATGCCTTCAGATGAACCTAGTTATCCACCGCTGAGTGCTGGAACGCAAGAAGATTTCAGCTGTGAGAGTTCTTCGAACTTTAATTCTCTGAACGACGAGCTTCAGAACTTGATTTATGGCAATAACGGCATAGCTGAGCTTGAGAAGGAGAATGTGAATTGGTTTGGTAATGAGTTTGATTCCTTAATGCTGCAGGAGAATCATGTGTTAGGGTACGACATGTAGTGTACTATTGAGTATTATGCAGGAAGGGTTCATGGATGTTTGATGTAAATGTGTTAATAATACTACTGAATATTAATGTTCTCTTCACTATTATAGAATCTTATATTGATTAATTACATGAAAACATTAGGATGTTTCCGTTATGGCTTTCAATTGTCATTTCATGGGTCACATTCTAAATCAGTACACAAAGATTAAATCTGGTCACTTCTCTTCCTTTGATAAATAAAAAAAAGGGATAAATGGAACAGTTTTAGGATCTTCTCTTCTTCTTGTTGGTTTCTGTTGCATTTGGGTATGTTTGATCTTTTCCACTTGTTAGTTTTATATACTTGCATGTACGTATATATGCTTTGATCTTTGTAGGGTCCGATAGATATGGACACATATTTGAACTTATGTGAACAGGGAATATGACTTGTGTCCTCTCACATGCCATGTGCATGCCTATAACCTAGGATTAATTTATAAATGAACATGAACCCTGGTTTCAGGAGTCTTTGAATCAGTAATATTTGCATGCAACATGAAATTTAGAGTAAAGACTTTAGTGTGGCATTAAACTCAATGTTGTCAACTAGGTAATGTTTGTCTGATCTAATTAATTGATATCTTCAATATTAATTGTATATACACACACACATTATAAATGCACACATGCACTATCATGGAAGCGCATTGTAAATCACATTTTATAATTTGAATAGGATCTTTTTGTTATCAACTATTTGTTCTTGTGGATATGCGTACTTGATGGAGAACAACTTGAACATGGAATTTGGTGCAAGCAATAATAAGCAACAAGCTACAGAAAGTTCAGTAATATCAGGAATAGACTTATTAGGTGATTAACAGGAAGGGTTACACTTATGTTGGTATTTTCAAATGGTAATGATATCAAAGTTCTCATGTTGAGCATACATTAAGATGGAGGATCTCCTAAATTTTCTAAGCGACATAAATATCATGACATAAGTATAAATACCAAGATTAAAAATGATATCTTTCATTGTATTGAGATATTTATATACAAGAGTAAGAAGAGTAGTTCTAGCATTCCAAGCAATGTGGAACTAAAAGAAAATAATATAAATAGGGAGGACAAAGAAATCCGTATCGGAGAATATATTTGTATATATTCGATAGGATATGGTTATGGGCATGCATATGTAGTGAAATATCAGTATTAGCTAAAATACAAGATTGGTATTTTTCTCGACTCACTTTATTGCTTTGGTATTTTTTGTTACTCCTGCATCATTTTGATTTTTTTCCTTTGTCCGATGGTCAAATAGGCACAAATGTTAGCCACCGACACACACAAAAAACCCTTGAATTTCTGATGTTGAGTGTATTAAAGGGTAATTAGGGTTAGTCGAAGCATGTGAGAGCACATGCTCTCTCTCTCTCTCTCTCTCTCTCTCTCTCTCTCTCTCTCTCTCTCCCTCTCCCTCTCTCTCTCTCTCTCACTTAAAATTAAGGAAGAAATTAGGGTAGGGTTAGGGTTAAGGCTTAAATTAAAGTTCCTCCTTTTCAATTTCATCTTCTTCATTTCTTGAATATTTAGTATGCCCTCTTCAAGTCTAAGGTTAATTTTAAAAAGAGGTGGATTGAATCAATGAAATAGTGGTAGCAAAAATAAGAAGAAAGAGGACATGTTAAACCCACCACCATTTCTTTGATTCAACCCACCTCTCTTTAAAATTGAGCTTGGACTTTGAATAGGACATGTTGAATATTAAAAAATTTGGAGATGATGAAGATTAAATTAAAAATGGGAAATTTTGATTTTGGCCATAACCCTAACCTAATTTCTTCCCTAATTTTGAATGAAATAAGGAGAGAAACATGTGTTTATTGTGTAGGGTTGGCGACTAGGCAGGTCTGGGTAATCCGGGCTAGATCGATCCGAACTAACCTTGACATTGAGTTAGGCCAAAGCCTATGTGTCCGGGCTGGGAGTACAATCCTACCCATCCTATTAACCCGACCCATCTGAGTCGGGCTGGGTTGGTCCCAACCCACTATTTTCCTTTTAATTTTCTTTATGTTTATTTTTCTTTTATTCTTTTTGCTCTTTTTAAAACTAGATTTAGATAAATTTTGAACAACTGGCTGGGATTTTGTTGCTTCTTGAGGAAGTTTTGAGACTTAAGCACCAATTGTTTTCTTTGAAAAACATGCACATTTAACATATTATTAATTTTAAGATTATTAAATAGTTATTGATAACTAATTAGTTACTAATAGCTAATGTGGTTACTAATAATTGATGTCAATATGGGGTTTAGGTGTGAGCTCGGTCCATGCCTAGGTCCAATTCGAGCTGGGCTAGGTTTGCGGGCAAGGTTCAAGTTCAGGCCTGAATGTCAAAAATACACCCGTACACGACCCACCTTGAGATCAAATCGGGCCAAACCCGGCAAGGATGCTAATTGGCCGGGTCAAACCCAACCCAAAACTCCGGTTGCTTCCTTATTCTCACATGCTTTAAGTAACCCTAATTATCAAAATAATTAACCTTTAATATATTTCAAGTCAGTGATTTACGGGCTATTTTGTCAAGCAGCCAACTTTTGAGCCTATTTGATCATCAAGCCAAGAAAAAAATATACCAAAATCATACTGGACTAACAAAAATACAAAACTAGTAAAGTAGGCTAAGAAAAATACCAATTTGGTAACTTGGCATGTCTGTATCTACACCAGAAATATTTGAAAACATGGTTTACAATTGGTTTAATCCTTAGATGAATGGATTTGAGGATAACTTTGATGATCAAAGATATCCTGTTGACATATTAGTATTAGTTAGGGACTTATTTGTAAGTTGTGTAGGGACCTATATAAAGTCCAAGAGATCTCATAATGAATTAGGGTTTCAATTCAACTTGGTATCAGAGATACTCCACCAAAAACCCTAGCGCGCAAACACCCCCACCCCCCCCCCCCCCGTGTTCCGACCACCTGCAAACCAACCCCCCCCTTTAGGTTCGGGCGATCACTTTGCAGACCCCCACACGCAGCCCCCCCCCACCTGCAGCATCCCCCACCTGGCGGATTCCCACAGCCTGCAGTCGCCCCCGCGCCCCACTTCCGCATCTTCCCCAGACCAGCGCCCCCCCTTCCTTGTTCCGCCCCCCTGCTCGACCCTTTGTATCCGACCCCTGTCCACAATCAGCCCACCTCTGTTCCCGCCGACCGCGCCCCTCGATCAGCCCTCCGACCTCTCCTAAAACCTCGACGACCAAACCGCCGAACATGCCCCACCACCCCCTTTTTTTTTAACGGCGCTCCTTTGCTGCGCTATGCTGGACCTCGAGTTTGGCATGGGTTCCCTTGACTCAGTCCTCGAACTGATGACAGGAAGAGTATATATCTCATAGCGATGAGATATATCACTGTTTTTTTTATTCTAGTTTCCTCTGAGAAACGAGAATTTGTTGGAGATCTTACTCTTGTTGTGCAGCAGAAGTGCTGCCGAAATTTTCACTGCGCACAATAAGGGTTTGAAGAGAAAGGTGAACATGTGTTGGATCTGAAGCTTGATCGATGGAGGAGATCATCAAGAAGTTGAACCCTGCGGAGGTGTCAACTTTGATGAAGTTGATGAAGTTGTTAGCTGATGAAAGCGCGACAAGACCATCAAAGAAGTTGGAGCTTTCGACCATCGATCTGAAGCTTGATGGACCGAGTACCTACCTGAGTTGGTCACGACGGGTGAGATACACCCTTGCAGGGAGGAACCTGGAGGGTTACTTGACCGGAGAGAAGACAGAACCGGATGAGGACTCGGGAGGACGAGATGAGTGGAAGTCCACTCATATGTTGGTGTACATCTGGCTTCTCAACTCGCTGGTCCCGACGATCGCCGCCACGGTGGATGGCATTGAGAAGGTGAAGGACGTCTGGGAGAAGTTGAGGAGAACATATGATGGGGTGGGGAATAACCTGAGGGTTTTCCAGATTAAAGGAGAGATCGACGCCACAGTCCAGGGAGAGAGGACTGTACAGGAATATGCTACAGAGTTGGAACGCCTGTGGCTGGATTATGATCATTTCTCTCCCCGGGCTAGCTGCAAGGACCCGGGATGTAAAGAGCGGGAGGCCTTTCTACAGGAGAGGACTATGGTGTTTCTCAAGGGATTGACATCAGAGTTCGCTCAGCGAATTGCATTACTGCTAGCTCAGCCGAAAATTCCCACGCTTGAGGAGGCTGTCTCTGCTATGATCCAGGAGGAGACTCGCATTCGGCTGCAGGCAGGGATAGATGGACTTCCGGTGGTGAAGTCAGCACTGGCAGCCTCTAGCAATACCGAATCTAGGGGAGAGACTCGACAGTGCTACAACTGCGGTGCGGTGGGTCATCTAAGGCATGTTTGCACCAAACCACCCAAGAAAGGAGATTCGGGTGGACGTGGACAGTTCGGAGGTCGTGGTCGTGGCCGTGGGGGTCGACGAGGTGGAAGAGGAGCAGGGAATCGGGCGAATCTGACGGTAGCAGAAGAAGAAGAAGCTGAGGTAGTCTTTACTGAGGAGGATCGTGCTCTCCTGGCGATACTCAGGAGGAAGCAGCAAGTAGTAGGGGATGGAGACTTGAGGAGTGGGACTGAGGAGGCATCCACTTCGTTCTTCGCCAGAGGCAATACTGCTACCTATGCTCATCCGACCAAAGGTACTGATGACATACATGCTCTTGCTTCTATGTCTCCCAACAGATCATCAGAATGGATAGTCGACTCCGGTGCGTCTCGTCATGTGACAGGTAATGCTAGTGAGTTCTCATCATATACTCACTTAGCATCACCTGATAGTATTCAAACAGCTGATGGTACATTTCAGCCGGTAGTTGGTAAGGGTACAGTCGATTGTACTGGTTCTGTAACTTTGTCCAATGTTTTGCATGCTCGTGCATTTCCAGTCAATCTTTTGTCCATTAGTTCTATCATCCTCCAACTAAAATGCATTATTTCTTTTGATATTCCCAAGGTAATTTTTCAGGAGAAGGGGACAGGACGGAGACTTGGGAC